AGAGAAGTGCATCTAGTACTGCTGAAGGAAGTTCCTTTGGGCATCAGAAGGGATATGTTTTTTATGCATGATGGGGCTCCCGCCCATTTTAGTCAAGTAGCACGTCAGCATTTAACTGAAACATATGCAAATCAGTGGATAGGTCGAGGAGGATCACAGAACTGGCCCGCTCTATCCCCGGATGATGTTTATAGAAAACTCGAAAGCCAAATTATCAAATATAAATATGTTATATGGTATACTTTGAATAACGTAATCGTAATCAAAAAGTATCGATTTCAAACGTAAAGAAAGCCAGAAAAAAAAGTTAACTGATAAAGTAATCAATCAAGTTCTGTCTTAGTATGAAGAAGAAATCGTGACTTCAGATTTTCTTCATATTTTTTCCAACTAAAAGAAAATGAGAGGTCGCCTACAGTACATTACAATAATAATACTATAATAATATTACCGAGAAAGAAGGGCTAAACTAGATCCAAAACAAAATGTGATATCAAGATTGTACTGAGAATGTCGTGAAAGAATATGCAAACCTGTATAAATTGACAGAAAACTCTGAAATCATAGAAAATGAAAATGCTAACAAATAGAGTGGATAACCTTTATGAGGGGTTTGTTGGAGAAATGATCGAAAAGAATGATTAGGCATGCACTGGATATTGTCCATTCAGTGGATAACTGAAAATAGTAGGGCTGTATAATGGTGAATTCAGCCGCATGCAACGCATCAGCAGTAACAGATCTTTTCATGCGAATTAGAGGTATTGGATTACACGAGACAAACAGTTTGTAGACAACTAAATACAAGTAGAGATGGATGTGACAAAGAATAAAATAAGCACATCCTGAAGCACCTCCTTGTTGGAATATGTGTCATGAAAATGCGGAAAAAATTGAATAGGCTCATAATCCTGAACGGTTTTCGGGAGCCTTGAAGAAAATGGACAATTCAGAAGAAAAAAATTATAAAACATCCGATTATGATGTTCGACTGAATATGCCTAGTACTATAGTACTAGTGTCTTTTTGAACGACTCAAAGAGATTGTGGTCGACTGATTCAGAAATAAGTAAAAGTAGTTGTTTCGAAAATAATTTTCAAAAACTGAAACCCAATATATAAAGTTTATTTTATTACATTATATCGTTTTTTATCCTGTTCCTAATCACGCATGAGAAATCATGTTCAATTTCGTAATGATTTGCTGCAAAACTTCATGTTAAATAAATATTACGTTGATGGATTGATGTGCAATGTATTAATTATCTAACATCTAACAACCAAATAATTGTTGTATAATTCATTCAGTTTGAAACTTCCCACTGCATACTTTGAGCGAAAAACAATTCACCAGTTTGTGAATAATTACAGTGATTGAAACTAATTTCTTCGGTACTCCTAGTTCAATACAATGAAAAATACAACAGTACAATTGTTTTGATTTCTTTGATTTTCTTGATCTGACAAGTAACGTATATAGAGGGGGAGTTTTCAAGGTGCCCAGGTTTCCCTCCAAAATTTTATGTATTTTATGTATTTAGACAATTCCAAATTAATTTTTCTGGCTCTTTATCATGAAAATGATATATTGATGGAAAAGAAGAAACCCAAAAAAAGGTTTTTCTCAAAAAATAATCTCCCCCAAAAATACTCTCTTTTATAGAATCATATTAGACAATGTGGAATTGGCCGCGGTGGTAGTGCACCCGACTCACGATCGGAAGGCCGTGGGTTCGATTCCCGTCTCGATCAGATGTTTTTCGTATGTTGTCGTTCGTATGGGGGCGACAGCTGATTAACGAAAAAACAGATTTTAAAGACAGATTTTTAAATGGAAGTCTAAACTAATGAAATTCAACTAGATTATAATTTTTAGGATGAAATGATAACAACTTTCACAATATTGGATAAAAACACATTATTCTTGAAGCTCAAAGCGAAGAAGTTCATACATGTAAAAATAATACAGGCACTCTATCAAAGATAAAATTGAAAACATCTCTTCTGGTCTACAAAGTAAATGAACAGAATTGAAATGAAAATGTTCATGAAAGAAAGTCAACCATTTTGTAAAATTGGAAAGTTAATAATACAAATTCAGCAGAATTCAAGAATATAAAGGCAGCCGGGATTCTCATTTCAATATATTTTGCTTATCAAGCTTCCATATTGAGTTCCTCACACTGAATCAAGCCTAATCACAATCAAATCATCTAAAGTTCTAAAGGAACAATTCGTTCAGGCCAGTCTCAATTCCCTACACAGTAGGTTGATGAACTGACACCTATCAGAAAACAACTACTCTTCTGGTTGATACCACAAAGGGCGTTGGATTATATCCGACAGGTGTCAGTTCAGGATTATTCACTGAAGTTATTCCTGCATATGCTGTTGGCGATACAACTGCCGCAATAGATTTTCAATTATTGGAACATAATTCCCGAACGATTTCGAGCTGTTGGGCCACTCATTAATGCAAGGTAGTATTTATCATCAACAGGTACTGTATTCAACCAAGCCCCAAAATCTTCAATATCAACAGCTTTGAAGCGATTCTTTTCAGAAAAATATTACGGAAATGTGAAAATTCAATGTATTGTAAAGGTTCATCTCATCCGTAGTTGAATAACTTTCAATTTGAAAACACCAGATAGATCCGTCACCGATTACTAAATCATCTATTGCAATGGGACTGCAATTATTATTTCAATCAATACCGGAACATTTCGATGAAAGACATGAAAATTGGTAGATCCAGCAAAGATGATGAGCGCAGATCCTATGCTTTTTTGTGAGATTTTCACTAAGCAGTATTAATTGCAACACGTGTTTTGATATACGATACATTCTTCAGACGTTGAAGAAAGCATGTTTAAGTCTTCTTGATATCGAATTCTGTTTAGACAATGATTTTCTCTTCAGTTAAGAATATGTAAACTGTCATTATTCAGAGTAGAAACTAGTGGAATCCAATGACTTGCTATGAATATGCAAATATATATATATATGATATAGTCAAATAAATTATCTATCTGACTATCAATTTTCTATTTTATTTCAATAGAACCGACTTGGTTTTATCCATAGGAAGAAAATATTACATTCATTTCTGTTGGGAGTTTAAAGGCCATTGTAGAGGAGTTAGTCCTAGCCTTAGTGATATTATTCAGTTTACTTCGAGAACGCGTTGAATAATAAACTAAACAACATGGAAGCTAGTCATTCGGGAACCGTGAAGCGTCCGAAACTGTCAGCATTGAAAATAAATGAAAAAACTATTGTTATGAATGTTAATATTTCTTTAAGAATACAATACCCGCCCGAAATAAAAAGAAAGCAGGAAGGGGGAAGTAGTGCAAAAATGCGCGAGTATGACCGGTGTCAATGGATCGACAATTCACAAAAATATTAAGGAAATCAAGGAAAATAACAGCTTTTTGAAACCGAAAGTTTCCAGGCAACTTTGTTTGCTCTGTAATCGGCGAAAAAAGTACCGATGGCAACGATATGATCGTAGATGATTGTTTTATGGCTGTCACATAGGTACTGTTGAAAAAATCATGTAAGTCTTCAAGAGTAGTACATTAATATCGAATTCCGTTTAGACAATGATTTTCTCTTCAGTTAAGAATATCTAAACTCTCATTATTCAGAGCAGAAACTAGTGTAATCTAATGACTTGCTATGAATATGCATATGTATATCAAATCATCTAAAGGAACAATTCGTTCAGGAAAGTCTCAACTCCCTACACTGTAGGTTAATGGACTGACACCTATTAGAAACCAGCTACTCTCCTGGCTAATACCACGAAGGGTGTTGGATTATATCCGACGTATATGATATAGTCCGATAAATTATCTATCTGACTATCTATCA